TAAATTTGCATTTTTTTATTAAAACTTTAACACCCTGTAGATCGGAAACTAAGCGTTTTCGGAATATGGTAAATTAAGGAAATACATCACAAATCACTTGTACTATAACCTCCTGCAAGGAATGCATCGACTCACCAAACACCCTGTAGACATAGGTGTATATGAACCTTTCGACTTAAAATTAGATTAGGAATTACCCCTTAAAATAATACATAAGATTAAATAACACCCTGTATATTGACATTTTTTAGAATACCTAAACGATTATACAAAAAAGAGTAAGAGAATATTTTTCTGAAATTATTGAATTTTGATTTTTTTATAGACTTACAGAAGACATATATCAAACCGCTAAAGTAGCAAAAGTGTTGTTGCTTTTGAATGCAGGAAAGGGAGCTGAATTCAGGGGAAAAAATTTACAGGAAATTGAAATTGAGGGAGAAGAGATTGAGGATGATGAGGAGGACATGGAAGAGGTAGAAAATATAAATGTAACGAAAAGCGATAGCGATAGGATAGTTGTAAGTTCTGAAAATAAATTCTCAGAAGAAGCAATAAGTGAACATATAAATGAAGCAGACGAGAGTAACACAAGTAATGCAAGTGATTTAATAAAGAAAGATAATAAAGAGAACAGTAAAAAATCAAAAAGAATTCGCTGGTGTGATGATACGAAGAAAATTGTACTTAAATATTTCCAAAAACATATTAAAGAAAATAAAGCACCAAAGAAAGCAGAATGTTTGGCTCTTATTGGCAAAAATAGTGGTATATTTGAAGAAACTGATTGGCTCCGGATTAAAACCCTAGTTTATAATACTTACCGAGATAAATAAATAATAAATACCTAATCAGAAAAGTATCTAATATGAGTTTTTATTTAAATTTTTTATAATTTCATTACTTGTTTGGTACTACATGGTAACTCATTAAGTATTTAATCCAAATCTGACATAAATCTACTTTACGGTTTTTCTGTATCAGTTAAAATAATCTAAATACAGCAGCAAATATCTATTCTCCTCAAGAAACTAGTTTAAATCCTATCTGTCCTGTCCTTAAATCCATGTTGCCAAACTTAGGGTCTGAAAACGTCTGTTCTATATCCTTCAATCCCAAAAAGCATAAAGTATATACAGAAACGATAATAACGCCATCAGTAGCTCAGTAGCAAACCTGAAGAACTACAAGTGTATAAAATATGATGTTCAACCGTTTTATGAGTCGCACAACTTTTTTTTTGTTTTGAGTTTCATGTGCTATGATGACATCAGAAAATGGAAAAACAACGTAAAACGTTGTCAGACCCGGTGCTGGGTCTGACAACGTTACTTTTGGACTGACAACGCCGGTGGTCATGCATACCACTTCGGGTCTGTGTAAGATGGTTAAATAAATAAATAAATAAATATTCAATTAGAGAAAGTACAATGGAGACTTTAAAGACTATTCATTTTATTAGTTATGGATTTTATCGTCCTCGTGGTACACCTCAAGAATTATTGTTTTCTTGTTTTAATTTTAATAGTCTCTGTCGTAGGCAAATTATGTTTTCAATTAGGGTATATTCCTTTTTAAAATTATAAATAACACTTTAAATGTAGCTCGTTCGTCTCAAGGATTGTATATCATGTTCCTAGACTTAATTCTCTGCTTTACAATAATTACACACCTCGTACCAATTTACTAATATCAAATACTATATCAAATGATTTCTAGTTGTCACAAGTATGAAGATTTTTTGTCTAGGAAATGTAATCCTTATCTTGTATATATTAGTTAGCTTATTTGTTTTATTTGTGTTATTGTTTATACTTAAGTTCTTTTGTCTGGATTTTATATTTTACATTTTGATTGCTGTATTTTATGTAGTACTTATATTTTTATATTTAATGTTAGTTTGTCTTTTTCTTTTTAAATTTAGTTAATGTTTTCTGTTTTACTTTATCTTGTAATTGGGACTTTGTCCCGTTGGATATTGTAATTTCTAAATAAATAAATAAATAAATAAATAAATAAATAAATAAATAAATAAATAAATAAATATTCAAAT